TTGTTTTTAATAATAATAATTAATAATAATATTGAACCTAGTATTTTTTTTTTCTTGCAATTTTTTGAATAATTACTTTTATTCCAGCCCTACTAAAAGAATCTAGCCATTCTGGCAACTTCCAGCATATCATCCCAAACTCTTTCTTGAACTTAAGTTCTTAAATAAGTTCACTACACTCTTATTGGCCTCTATGGTCACCAATCCAATAGAGCGCCTTTGGAATGCTGTGGAAAAGTTGATTTGAATTATATGGGTGTGCAGCTGACAAATCTGTCATGTCAACATGGACCAGCAGGTCTAGAAGTAACGTTTCCAGCCTCTTGTTGAAACCCTTTGTATATATTAGATTGGATTTATTTCCCTGTGTCGAATGACTGGTCCCATAGAACTGGCTACACTGCTTTGGTAGATGTGTACAGTTCCTAATTCCAGGTACACCATGGAGAGCTGCATTGGAGCTCATAGCAGGGGGCAAATGGAGAGCCACAGGTGCAAAGCGAAAGGAGGACAGAAGTGAAAGATAAGAGAATTTTAGAGAAATGGTCAATGGGGGAGAGAGAGGGAGACAAAGAAAGCCAATTGTGGGTTCATTCGGGGTGTGGCTTGGTGGCAGACACCACACTAGCTCATTACCTCAGCCTTTGTGCTCTATACAGCAAACCCAAAAGAACAGCAAACCACAAAACAGGCACATACCCACTTCACCTCCAAACAGCAGCCCTGTTCCCAGCACCAAAGGATCTGGCAAGAGAAGATGAAAGTGCTTTAATTCAGAGCGTTTTAGCTTTATTGTTTATGGCTCATCTATTACTGAAAATGGGCTTGAGAGAGGCTTCAAGATGCAAAAGCGCACAATAGTCGCATTGTTTTTAGGCTCTGTAATTAATGAAGAAGGTATGAGTGTCTCTCTCTTGTGATTGCTCGCTGGGTCATTCTGTTTCTCTCTTTCAGTTACAGAATCTCCCAGGATGTTTTCTTTCTTTTGATTGCCAGCCAAGACCGCAGTGACAAGAATCCTTGTGTGGCATTTCAGAAACTCGCATGGCAGAATTCCCCTTTTAATGCTCGCAGTTCCAAGAGCTTTGCCACCCCGTAATAACTGACAGATACCATGCCATGTGTTTTGAACTTTTAGACTGATCAAATTTCATCCCTCTGTATAATTATTGAAATCCAACTGCTCTGGCTCTTGGCTTGCGTTCACAAGCTCAAAGGGAACTGCTAGCATACCGTTGAGGCTCATGCAAAGCTTGGCATGGGGCCTAACGGAGAGGTTTGCTTTCCTTATACAGGATCAGGTGTTTCTCATAATAAACGACAGTCAAGCGACTTGTCTCGGGTTTATAAAACGAAACTCCTTGTCTTTTTCAACACGAGGAATTCTACCCAAGTTTCTCCTCCTTTTTTGTTTTGTTTATTTTCTGGCTTTGTTAACGGTATTCGTAATTATATGTAAGGAATATGTTTTGAATTCCTCAGGGGGAGGATGTTTAATGCTGAAAGCAGTGGTTTTGGGACAAGGAGTGTTTAAAGGTGATTATGGAAATTTCCTCTTGGGTGGCGCATTCCTTTTTAAGGCACAGCAGAACGGAGGCCTGGATAAACTGCTGCTATAAATACACGAGTCTAATCAGCTGACGTTGATGGGGAAGTGAAAAACTAGAGATCCAGAATATATAATAGGCCCCAAAAGGCGTTTTGTCACTTTTTAAATAAAGATGTCTTTGCATTAGATAATAAATTATTACATTTATGCATTTTATTGAAGAAAAATAGAAATGAAACCCATTTTTCAGGCAACATATTGCATAAAATCAGAATGCTGCAAGGTTTTCCAAAGCTAAATTTGATTCCAATTTTCTCTGTCACATGATTATTCTTATTTGCTGATTTTACATGTAAATCATGTTGATGTCAGAGGTCAAAGGAGAATGGCCAGACTGGTTTAAGCCATTTTAAAGGCAAATAAAATAACCACTAATTTTAACCAAGCTCCGCTTAAGAGTTTTTCTGAACACACAACACACCAAACCTTGAAGCAGATGAGCTACTGTACAATAGCAGAGGACCGCACAGGACACCTCTTTTCTCTTCTAAAAGAAGGAAACTGAGACCACAGTTTGCTAAGTCTTACCAAAATTGGACAATAAAAAAAGTCGAATTTCTGCTGTAACATGTGGATGGTATGTTCAGAATTTGGCATAAACAGCCATGAAACACAACGAGCAATTCAAGAGGGGGCTCTTGGTGTAGGGAACATATTCTGGACACACTTTAGACCCATTAGTACCGATTAAACTCCACAGACTACCTGGGGTTATTTCTCTGTACTTGACCATCCCTTAATGACCACAGTGCACCTACAGTTGAAGACTAAATTATTCACCTTCCTGTGGAATTTAGATTCTTTGGTGATGAGTGGAGAGAAGATTTTTCGAACACATTTTTCAACATGAGTTTAAGAAAATTTGTCTCTATTTTAATTGAAAAAAGAAAAAGAAAACACACTTTTCCGGCAATTATAGCACAAAATAGTTTTGCATAACTCAAAACTCCAATTTTCTTTGTCACGTGATCCTTTAGAAATTATTCTTATTTGATGAGTTGGCACTTAAACACGCTTCTTATTATTTGAAAACTGTTGTTCAACCCAATTCTTTTCATGAAACCCATGATACATTTTTCTGAATTCTTATAAAGTATAATAGAGCAGTATACACTGGAAACCTTCTGTGTTTAAAAATTGCTTAAATTACAATTCTTACCAGTTGTGCACTTAAAAAAATCTGAAAAGTTTGTTAGTGCTTACTCCCTTAGTGTGATTTTAAACTAGGGCTGCACATTACATCGTTTAAGCATTGATATTGCAATGTGCACATCCTCAATAGTCTCACTGCAGGATTTTCAATGTCAAGTATAGGTTATCGTTGACCAGAAGCTTGTAGATTAATGGCAGTTCAAATATTGTGAATTTAAAGTTTATAATTTGCATTTAGATTTTTTGTGCAAAACATATCAAGTGAGTTTAAAGCAGTTTTGCACAAAAAACAATAGCATATGTAGCCAATAGTGAAGGCTGCCAAATGTCACATTACTTAAGTTTGTCATTTTTAAGTGCGTGTGTCTAACTTCCAAAAAGACTTTATCAGAAAAATTGGGGATTTTTTTCCTCACAAATCTTGTTTAAAGTTAATTTGAAATAGTTTATAATAATTTATGCAGATTTACTCCTATTTAAAATCACCCCAACCATTTTGAAATAATGAATTTGGCACAAAAGTGAAATATAATTCATATTGCAATACATATTGCACAAAAACAGAATATTGCATTGTTTGTGAGTATTCCAGTATTGTGCAGCCTGACTTAAAATAACTGTTACTATTACTGTAAACTTTATTGTTTCCTTTTGGACCGATTTGTTCTGCAGCGTACTAGATTTACAACACATACACTGTATCCAATGTTTCCTCTAGGATTTTTTCCAGCTGTGGCGGCAGGTTTTTTTTTACACAGATCTATCAACTACCTGTGCCGTTATTTAAATGACAAGTGTTGGGACTTGTGAGTGCAGTATTACAACTCAAGATCGCATTTATGTAATAGCCTAAGTGCATGTGAATCTCTTTGCTTGAGCACCGATTTCCTCTGCTCGTGCACAAAACTCATTGCACGTCCCCTCAAATATACCCTGCTCAAGCGCAGATGTTCTTGTGCGCTCTCAAATAAACGAAGCTAAAGTACAATTGAGTGTGTTTATGTAACAAGTATGTCTCCAACATTTATTAGATTTGCTAGAAGTATTTATGAATGTCTCCAATAGACATACAGAGCGATATTAATGCATCCTGAAGTAAAATAGTGAACACGGCTGTATTGCCGTGTTTGTTGGCCTCACGCATCACAAACCTGTCAGTCAGTCAGCACGTAACCTTAAAGGGTTAAACAAATGACGCACAGCACTACTACGGTAACGGAAAAGTTTAAGCTGTTAAAATTCACTTACATTTAATTACGTTTTGGTGCGATTATCACCCGCTATAAAAAAATAAAAAAAACACGACAATGTTTTGAATGAAAAGTTCTAATGTAGCCGTGGCGGGACAAATTTTGGTGTGGCGCTCAGCTATGGAAGAATGAATGTAGCGGAAACCATGGCATCATACCTCACACTTAAGACAAACATTAATAAAAGAAAACATTCATAAAAAAATAATTGGATGAAGTTATTACAAGTAAATTTTTAAAAAGTAATCAAAAATGTAAAAAGTGAAGTAATTTAAGGTCTTTTTTGCAAATGATACACATTTTGTACCCGACACCATGATATACATATTAAGTGTGACTTAACTGTCCATAGACTTGTAGGTCTAAATAACGTGACACCGTTCAAATTGAGTTGTAGAGGTCATTGAATGTCTCAATGCTTTCGTCTTTTCTCTTCTCTTGAAGAGCAATTTTAGTTCTTCTGGTGCAGCGAAATACAATATCTCGGCCTGGCTTAACCCCATATTGTCTCACAATCATCTTTAGTATTTGATATGACTTGATTCTGCTTTTTTTGCTCTCTCTCTTTCTTTCTCATTCTTTATCTTCCCCTTGACTAATCCAATAAGGTGAAAAGAGTGTGGAAAAGAACATGTGACTGTAATACTGCTAATAGTCTCTTTATCGAATCTCATCTTTGTCAGTGAATTTAATGGGTGTAATGGGCTGTAATAATACGTCCTATGCCTCTGCCTCCCCTGCACCCCTCCTCTTGCCTTTCTTTTATCTTTCGCTCTTGTTCTGGTGTGGTGTCTGTGATATTCCTTTGTATGGTTTGACTCATCAAGGCCTCAACGTAGAGCTACAGTAGCTGTAGGATGAGTACTGTAAAATGATGGTACTCCAATAGTTTATCAAGATGTCAAAATTCTTGTTGGATAATCATGATGTCTATTCTGTTATCATCCATTCACTCTCTGTATTTGTTTTAATGGATCTTTTTGTTTCAGGATTGTGGGATCGAGGCTTTTACCATGAAAACCAAGATGTGCGCAGCTTCCTAGGAACCAAATACACTAAAGTTCCCATGATGCACAGATCAGGTATGCCCATTTATCATTAACATTTGCATCTAAAGGTAAATTTACTCAATGCAGAAATATGCCTTAAAGTGTTAGTTCACCCAAAAATTAAAATAATTTTATTAATTACTCACCCTCTTGTTGTTCCAAACCCCTGAGATCTTCATTCAGCTGGGTCTTAAAAAGTCTTAATGGGTCATAATTTTCCTATGTCCATGTAAAGCTACACCTGTGCTAACACCCATCCAATCACTGACAATATATTTCAATAAATGTTTTAAGAAATGTTTATTTATTAACTCCATTTACTTATTAATATGGTTTAATTATCTTCCTTACAATAACAATTGTTTTTAATGTTTTTTAAGGTTTTAACTTGGCCATTAAAAAATCTTTAGCATTTAGCCTTGTGTAAGTCTGAAGTTTCATAAATTATGGTCATAAAATGATGTTAAAAAGGTCTTAAAAAGTCTTAAATTTGACTTGATGAAACCTGTAGGAACCCATTTGTCCTACATAAAGATATTTTAGGTGAAATCAGAGAGCTCCCTCATCCTCCTTAGACATCAATGTTCCCGACTCATTTAAAGTAGGGCTGGGTGATATAGCCTAAAATTAAAATCTGGATTAATTAAATACTTTTCCTAGATTTTGATAATTGAATGATTATTTTATTTTCAATGTAGATTTTTTAAAAACTTTTTTTACCCCTCATAGTTCATTATGTTATTGATGATTTGTACTGTAAATATACGCAACTATTAAAACGAGACATCTTGATATAATAAAGGAGCTTATTTCTAATCTTTGTGATATCAAAATAACTGAAGGAACCCTACAGTTAAAGATAACAGAATGTAAAATTCCCGTGCCTGATGTTAAACCTGTTAAAAATCTGTATATTAATGAGAAATGGCAAATGAAATGAAGTGAATCCATGTGTAGGATTGAATAAGCTAAATTGGCTGTATTGTATGTGTGACAATGCAAGAGTGTATGAGTATGGCTCTTTTCAGTGTTGTTGCTGTTTGAATGTTTTTTTGTTGTACATTGTATGTTTGTTAAGAAACTGATATGATTGTATGTTATATATTGTACATTTAGTATAGTTTTTGCCATGCATATAGCTAATGCTATTGATATGACATTAAAGCATAAATAAATAAATAATCAAGGAAGCAAATTAAGACATCTTGTGAAAAAAAGGACACATTTTAGTTTTATTTTAAAAATCAAGTTTATTTTAGAAATAGAGAATTAATTTAGCAAATCAAATAAATTAAAATTTCCATGTCAAAGTTGGAAATAAATAACTTGCATCTCCTGTGAACAAAATTAACTAACCTTTTAAGGGCGAACTCTTACTAGGCACGATTGCCTTCAACCGTGCCAAAACGTTATTATTCCCCCTCCCCCAACGGCATGCACTCACTGCATTTTGCCTTCTAAAGAGTGGACATTGCTTTACGTATAGTTGTTGGGATGCTGTGAGACGCAGTCAAATATTTTGCTGAACAGATCCACCACTTTTGACGCTCATAAATTATCATAAAAGTTATTGTGCTGCACATATTAGGAGGTTTCCTGAAGCTGCAGCTGACATGCAGCGAGGGGTTTGCGTCTTTAATAAACTATGCCAGTTCATGTTCCTTGAAAAGTAAGAATGAGTACAAGCGTACTACGTCAAAGCCCAACCGAACCGCACTCTGGCACACCTCCAACTGGGCCAGGGCTGGCCAACTGAACCGCTGTGCCCGATTCTGAGCACTCAGACTAAATGCACACTAAGACTCCCCATGCTAAATGCTTGTATCCTAGGTGTGTACCGTCATTACGAGGACATGGAGAACATGGTGCAGGTTTTGGAACTAGGCCTGTGGGAAGGGAAAGCCAGTATTGTGCTGCTTTTGCCCTTTCATGTGGAGAGTTTGGCTCGGCTGGACCGTCTGCTGACCCTGGATCGACTGGAGAAGTGGTTTGGGAAACTCAACTCCACAAGTATGGCATTATCCCTCCCGAGAACCAAGATGAGCAGCGTGGTCAATCTGCAGGTAATATACTAAACATCGCTCATATCACTTCCTACAAGGTTGTTATGAGTGTGCGAAATGCAATTTCAAAACATTTGGTTATAGATAAATATTCTTAACATACAATGCAGATAAGACTCATTTAGAAAGCTAATGGAAGATATCCAGATATGACATTAGCATAATGAGAAGCAAGCATAGGTCATAGATTATTCTCATTCAGAAGGAAAGCTATTTTCCTTTTAATGGAAATTGTGTTTGCGGTGGAATTGCAGTCAGAGTTTGGAACGCAGTTTTATGTGTCTTAGGACACTGAGCTATGGTCTTTATTCTTCAAAACATTCTTCAGTTGTCCACTGTAAGAGATTTCTTGCTTTCTTGTGCTGTTCTTTTTTTGAACCTCAGCAGTTTGAGCTTGTTGCTTTGTTGCCCTGTGAGAATGCAGGTCACAGAGAGGTTTGGGAAGCCTGCTTTTCAGAGACAAAGCCCTGTTTTACTTGAGGTGAATTCAAATTAGTATTAAAACATGCAAAAAATATATTATTTGTATTATTTAGGTTTAATTTAAACATCCACAGGTACATGCATAATAAAAACATGCCCATCATACTTTTGCAACAGTATAAAAAAGTTGTTAACTAACATAGTTTGGGTAATTAAAACTGGAACTCTTAACAAGGTTGTAGCAAGTCCTGAATATTGTTCTAAAATTGGTCATATTGAATAAGGTTCCTTGGGTGCAAAGAGTTCAACATATTCAGGTCCCTATACTGTATATGGTATAGGTTCCTCATTTAATGCGATTTGTGATCTGCCATGTGATTTGTATAATTACAGTTCTGGGGTGCGTTTCCCAAACAACGACATAACTCGTGGCTGAACTATCATAGTATGATTCATCGTTTGGGGAATGAACGATGTAGTGATGAGTGTTTCCCCAAAACTGTAGTTTCTCTTTCGCCAGATCCATCATCTGAACTATGTTGGTTATGACGTAAAACCTTCATAATGACGCTCTAAACGGGGCGGAGTAACAACTTCTTTAGAGAAAATGACCATAATTATTTATATAAAATTATATTGTTGTACACACACACATTAAAAAAATCTAATATTAGTTTTAGTAAAAACATGCACTCATTTTCTATATTAACTGGAACATATGTAAATGGTTCATACTGTATAGGGCCAGTGTTTCCTTTACAAATAATATTGAGAATATACCATATTCTATGCTAAAACAAGTTCAAGTTCATATTCATTTATTTATAAAGCACATTTAAAAGCAGTCACAGATTGACCAAAGTGCTGTACATAAGACAAGGTAAAAATAAAAAGACAGAATATAAAAACATAGAAATAAGGCAAGAGAAACGTCTGTAAAAATAAATAAAAAATTTGCGGTTGAACAAACTATTAAAATAATCTTAAAAAGCCAAGCTAAAAAAAGGTACGTTTTAGGAAGTGATTTGAAAATAGATAATGATGGAGCCCTTCTAATCTCTAGGGGCAACTTGTTCCACAACCGACGACCTGCCACAGAAACATAAACCTACTTAGCTAACACTCTCATATATATAAATTAAATTGTTTATGGTTGTAATTTACAAAAAATATTAATAATAATAATTATTATTATTATCATCATTGTTATTATTATTTTAATATTATTAAGTAGGATGTTGTTTATTTATTTTTATTTTAGGTTTTTTGAAAAGTCTACTTTTACAACTGTTACACATTCAATCCACTGCACAAATGTTCTAACCACAAGCACCATGTCGTATACAGTAGGCTACAGACATATTTCTGAATTAATAACCTACCATAAATTAAAACCATTAATGTATGCTTTATATTTTTGTTTTCACAAACTTTGGAGACGTGACATAAATTCTGCTTTTAAATAATAGGTCACCTATAGGTTTCATCATGAGCCATGGCTGCAATTAAAGTGTCGTACATTTTTTCCTAGGGCACTACGAAGGGAGTGCAATTGTCAATATGAAGTTCACTAAATCTGTAAAAATACTTTGAAAGCAATTTATACCTAAGAGAGATGACTTGAGATGTTTTTTTAATCATTCCGAGTTTAAATGTTCTAAATGAATAGGGCATAGGGGGGATAACTGGGAATAGAACACAACCAGAAACTATGCTTAACTACAGCTCTATACGGTATGTGTAGTTACAAGCATAAAAGTTTGCGATGCAGTTTGCGAATTTTTGTTGGAACGATGGATTTGGGAAACACTAAATCAAGGAACTATATAACGATGGAACTTGCGACCTTGGTTGGCTAACGATGGTTTTTGAAAATGAACCCCTGATCTATCCCTTTTATACAGACTCACAGTACTGTTCAAAGAGTAATGTAGTATGAGGTTCAAAAACAAATTAATGTTACATACACACACTAACCTTATTCAAAAAAAAAAATTGGAACATTTCATTCTCTAATAAATCTTGAAGAAATTTCACTGTTTCTAAAAAATATGTAACAACAGCGACTGTATCAACACCAATAATGTTAAAAAAATGTTAAAATGACTTAATAAAATAAATAAATTAATAAATAAATAAATAAATTAATTAATTAATTAATTATAAATTAATTTCCAACCCTGCCACACTCACACTTTCGAAAGTCATCCAACAATTGCTTGCCCATGATCTCTATAAGTGTTTTCTATACACGTTAATGACTCTCCTGGCATCCCAAACATACATGCTCCATCAAGGCCTGGGCAGAGGCATGAAGCAGTGGCTCAGAAGCCCCTCAGAGTGAAGCCATGCTGGCTTAGAAGCTCAGCAAGAGTCTCTTCAGCAGCTCGGCCACAGGAAGCAGCCTGGACTCAGACAGCAGAGAGTGACAGAGGAGTTTCAGAAGAGCACAGATGGTTCTGTCTGCACTGCTGAACAGATCTGGATTTGGACTTGACAAGTGACAGTGACTGTGGCGTGCTTGTTTGGGCTGTTGAGTTCAGTGGATGAAAGCGTGTCTGGTACGATTGGCTCGTGGGTAAAGCGCATTTGGATTCTTTTGGTTTCTCGCGGTGGGTGGAAATGTCAAGTACGCCTTCGTAGAGCTCTTCTGGTGGATGGTGGAGGTGAAGTGTTTTGGAGGCTGATGAATGATTTTGTGACATCTGCTGGCTCTCCTCGTCTCTCCTCCCTCTCTTCGGTTTTCTCCAGTCTTTCCTGTCTTGTTGGCTGTTCTTCTTCGTCTTTTCTCTCTCTGGCCTCCCTCTCTCCACGTCTGACCTCAGCTCATCCATCTCCTGCCCGGAGTCGGCTGGTTCCTCCCACTCATCTTTGGTCTCCCTTTCTTTATTCATCACTTCATCCACCACCTCAATCTTTGCACCTGCCCTTTCATTCGCACTCATTTCTTGCTGGTCAGAGTCCCTGTAGCTCGTCTTCTCTTTTCTTCTCTTACACTCGTTTCTTTTTTTTGGTCACACTCTCATTCTCTTTCACTTTTTCTGTCCTCTGCTACCTGTGAAATATTAATTGGACTCATTTGTGTCCTTCTTGACCTCTTCTGTGATCAAAAGCTACTCTTTCTTTCTCTCCGTACTTTGACGCACTGATAGTCCTGTAGCTTAGATAATTAAATTTATGGATCCACCTTACTGTTATGTGGAAATAAAGGGAAACACTAAAAGTACATGATTATGATTAGGGAAACTGAATATCCCAACAACTCACGCAGATATGGCAGAGTTATTAGTGTGTATATCCACCTTAATGATACTGCTGTTCGTAAACATTTTTAGAGCAATGAAGTTCAGTAAACAGTCAAATTATTTACACTATACACGTGTTTATGACTATGTAAATGTGATTAAAATAATAACATAAGAAATAAAGTACTTGAGAAAGGTCTTGTCATCGATCAAAGTTGTAAGAGCAACAAATAATAACTTGACTTCTAGTTGATCATTTGAAAAAGTGGCAGAAGGTAGATTTTTCAGATGAATCATCTGTTGAACTGCTTCTCCATCATAACAGATACTGCAGAAGACCTATTGGAACCCGCATGGACAAAACATTGAGAAATCAGTCAGGTTTTGTGTAGGAAAAATCATGGTTTGGGAATTACATTCAGAATGTATGCATGCAAGAGATTTATTGAATGGATGGCAACATCAACAGCCTGCGATAGCGCTCCTTCTCATACTTCAGCCTCCACATCCAAGTTCCTGAAAGCAAAGAATATCAAGGCCAAGGATTGGCCAGCCCCGTCACCAGATATTAACATTATTGAGAACACTTTCTTTGCCATTCCAGATGAATTTATTAGTAAGTTATTTGAGTCATTGCAGAGATGTATGGTTGCAGTCCTCCAAGCTCATGGGAGTCAGACACAATATTAATTATTTTTCCTCTGCACCATAACTTTATATTCTATACTGTACATTATTTCTGTTCAGTGACAAGACTTTTGTCTAAGCAAAGTCAGACCTTACTGTCCTAATTAAATAAGTGAAAATCAAGGTATGTTCATATTTTATTTTGGTAAAATAAGCATAATCTAGAGGCCTTTGCCTTTCATTTAAGCCTCTTCTAATACCGAACGATCAACTAGAAGTCAAGTTATTATTTGTTGTTTCTAAAACTTGTATAAGCCACAAGACTTGTGTTAGGTGGTGTAGAAAATTGTAATATTAAACAGTATAAAAGAGTGTTTTGTACATCTAAAACAATTGAAACCAGGTGACCCTGTGATTTACAGTACAAATAGCTGCCAGAATTTAAAATGGCCTTTGACTTTTTACATTTTTGATTTCAGACAGAAGAGATTTTTCCCAAAAATGTAATGTCAAATTGTTAAAGTAATTTTAAATGAGTAAAACGTTTAGAGCAGTCAGATTTTTTTATATATTTAAAATAACAGTTTAAAATGTTATTTATTCCTGTGATTTATTATAATTCCTGTGACATGATTCTTTAGAAATGCATATATATATACATGTATAAACATACATGCATACATACATACAGACATGCATACAAAC